TTCCGTGGTAATCGGGAGTAATAAAGATTGTAGCACCCAATCGCAACGGGTAACAATTGCGATATCGATTACATATCGACTACTATTGGTGAGCTTTCAGACACGATTTTACTTTGCGATTGGGTGCGATTGGGTGTCGCAATTGCTACAACCGATCGCAATGCGATGCTAGTCTGAATGGGGTATTAGGCTCTGGTTTACACGATTCTCATCGTTAGTTGCCTTTCAATTTACGATATACCATACCGGGTTTTGATCAACTGGGTTTCCATGTTTTCGGTGACTAGAATTCAGCAAACTGGGTTTTGGCAAAGTGACATAAATTTGGCAAATCAGGTTAGATACCGTATGGTTTATTCCGTCTTTTTGAGATAAGTTATCTAGAAACTCTTCCCTTCTGTAACAGCTTATCTTGGAATAACGTCTTTTGGAGGTAACTTGGAAACATGACATCGAGCCCAGACAAAAAATCATGAGTTCCTACATTTTTTGAATGCTGCGTTCACATCGTGCACGAACACGGTTGTTCGGGTTACGTACGTATACGTTGGATTGATTCGACCAACCAAGCACGATTTCAGGATGCAAATGGCTCTCAGATCCATCAGTCCAGATCCGGAGTTTGGATTGGAAATCGTACAAATTTGATGTGAATAGTCCCATATCTGATTGATTGGAATGAAAAAAAAACAAAAGAAAACAAATACAATAATTATATGAATGATACACAGAGCTTCCTGAATTCCTGCAACTACCTACCTATAGATTTCTATGATGAGTAGGACTATATCAATGTAGAATCAATAAAAACAAAAATAGAATTCCGTACAATATTTATAGAAAACAGAGATTTATTTTCAAATACCAAGTAAACAGGTCTAACAGACTCTCAATTACGAACATTTTGGGTCGGTTGTTCGTGGCCAACAAAATATATTTTTTATTTGGAATAATTAACCTGCATCGGCTAGGACTACATTTTTAAAACAATCTTGAAAATGTTATTACCCATAATATACCTTATCATTTTGTTCACCATTTTAAATTTCAGTTCAAATGTCATCCGCTATTTAATTGTCTTGAGTGTATTACTATTGTATTACAGTGTTGTCATGGAGTTACAGGGCATTTGCAATTTAAATCCAGGAATTTTTGCTTAGCTTTTGGCGTCTTTCAACTAATCGTCTCTATGTACACTAGTGTGGTTCTTGTATTAGTTGAGAGGCCCAATCCTTTATGGTCCCTTTGAAATGGAGCCCCAATACACATCTTAATATTTTTAATATCTTTTTTCTCCGTTTGTCTAAATTTTAATATATCAATATGATTCTTCTATATTAAAAAATAGCTACTTTATAATAACATGATAGATACAAATTAGCATATATTTTAAAATATTATATACAGTGGTGGTGGGAGCAGTGGACCAAAGGATATCTGTCTTGGAACCATGGCATGTATTTTGTTAAGGAACACAGCTTTGATAACACATTTTTACACTTTAGACCTTTTACCGGGGGTTATTTTTTTTTTTTGTCTTTCGTGGGTGTAGCCCACCTTTATTCTCTCTTTTTTCATTGTTTTCATTTTTTTCACTAACTCTTGTTAAGGTTCAAATAAACATTATGTTCAGGATTTACATGAAAGTAAAGCAAAAAAAAAAAATAAAAACTTCACGTGTCTACCACGAAGTACACTATCACATGAAATTTCTATAAACAATTATTATTTTGATAAATTTTTACCTATTAGTGCTTGATATTTTTTTCTATAATTTAACAATTATAACTTTGCATAATATAATTGATTATGGTTCCTATTATATATTATAATGTCATTGAATACATGTAGGATATACCTATATAAAGTATTAAGATTCAGAAATATAAAACATTTCATGACTTGTTAATAAAATACATTATAAGGTAAAATAAGGACATGAAATTATGTTTCTTAATAAAACACTTGATAAAATAAACTTATACTATACATAAACATATACACACATGCTTATATATACACATACACCTATATATATATATATACATATACACGCACATACACCTACACCAATACACATAAACGCAAACATACATATACATCCGTATAGATAGTTTACCATATCAGTCTTATATAGTAGTAATATTAATAACAATAATAATAACGATCTTATAAACCAATGATCTTATAAACTGTAGACTAAAATCACTTTATGAGCAGTCTTGCAATTTTATCTTCCCTTCATTGATATTCCCAATCTTTATGGTACATGCACATATCGAATATTATTGAATATCATTAAAGTAAGTATTTTTATATTTCTAAATTTTTCTTATATTTTTTATTGTATTTTTTCCTTATATTTTTTTACTGTATTTTCTGGTTAACTCAAAAGAAAAATCTAGAATTATTATATAATAAAAAGTTAACCTCATCTCATTGTTTATTATCCACACATGCCTGTAATCCAAGTAAAAGAAGATTATGCAAATTCATCTGTGAGTATTTTTTTTTCTGATTGGATAATACTGTACTGCAAGTCAAAAATATCTACTATGTGTTTTATTCTTTGCTAATAATGCAGCCTTGGTGTAGAGTATTTGTATTCATAAAATAAACTGGCAAGATGCAGTGACTGATCAAATTTGATGTCAATGCTGGCTGAAAAATAATGTTTAAAGTCCACTGATGTTTATTTAACCATTATGAAGACGATGAGAAAAGGTTAACAACATCTACTATTTTCCTTATTCCTTTCTTTTTTTTGCCGGTGTCAACTTATTTAGGTAATAGGCTGGCCGTTGGATTCTGCAAGAAATAATATAATCCAAAATAGAATAACAATTATAAAAAATATGCAATGTTTAGGAGCTTAAATTATACTGTCTGAAAAACATTCGGAAAAATATAACGCAATACTTAAAATACTTGGATTGCTCAATTTCTATATTTATAAATAAAATATTTATAAAGTACAGTAGAATCTCGATTTTACAAATGGTAATGGACCGGATGCCATACGTAAATCAGGGGATTCGTAAATTCAAGGTTGGCTTAAATATGTAGTGACCTTTGACCCAATATGTTTGTAAGACTCAATATGAACGATGTTACCTAGGCCTACAACTGTATAGGCCTAGGCATACACTGTACAAATAAAACCAAGAGTTTAGTGTTTTTATTCATCACTTTACGCTGTCATAATACCATCTTTTTAATAAAACCATGTGTCTGTGTATTAAATCATGACTTCACTGTATATCTTTTATTTGAATGTAAAAAACACCTAGATATTAAATTATACTATTTTTTATTAAGGTATAATGAACTAGAAAGGAAACAAAAGAAAAAAGGAATGAAAATGAAAAAAAGAAATATTTAAAGAAAAGAAAGGAATAGAATAAGAAAAGAAGGAAATGTTAAAGAAAGAAAAAGACTGAAAACGAAAAGCTAGAGAACACATGCCTGTAATCCAAGTAAAAGAAGATTATGCAAATTCATCTGTGAGTATTTTTTTTTCTGATTGGATAATACTGTACTGCAAGTCAAAAATATCTACTATGTGTTTTCTTCTTTGCTAATAATGCAGCCCTGGTGTAGAGTATTTGTATTCAAAAATAAACTGGCAAGATGCAGTGACTGATCAAATTTGATGTCAATGCTGGCTGAGAAATAGTGTTTAAAGTCCACTGATGTTTATTTAACCATATGAAGACGATGAGAAAAGGTTAACAACATCTACTATTTTCCTTATTCCTTTTTTTTTTTTTGCCGGTGTCAACTTATTTAGGTAATAGGTTGGCCGTTGGATTCTGCAAGAAATAATATAATCCAAAATAGAATAACAATTATAAAAAATATGCAATGTTTAGGAGCTTAAATTATACTGTCTGAAAAGCATTCGGAAAAATATAACGCAATACTTAAAATACTTGGATTGCTCAATTTCTATATTTATAAATAAAATATTGATAAGGTACAGTAGAATCTCGATTTTACAAATGGTAATGGACCGGATGGCATACGTAAATTAGGGGATTCGTAAATTCAAGGTTGGCTTAAATATGTAGTGACCTTTGACCTAATATGTTTGTAAGACTCAATATGAACGATGTTACCTAGGCCTACAACTGTATAGGCCTAGGCCTACACCGTACAAATAAAACCAAGAGTTTAGTGTTTTTATTCATCACTTTACGCTGTCATAATACCATCTTTTTAATAAAACCATGTGTCTGTGTATTAAATCATGACTTCACGGTATATCTTTTATTTGAATGTAAAAAACACCTAGATATTAAATGATACTATTTTTTATTAAGGTATAATGAACTAGAAAGGAAACAAAAGAAAAAAGGAATGAAAATGAAAAAAAGAAATATTTAAAGAAAAGAAAAGAATAGAATAAGAAAAGAAGGAAATGTTAAAGAAAGAAAAAGACTAAAAACAAAAAGCTAGAGAAAAAAAAAAGGTAAAGAAAGGAAAGGAAAGAGAAGAAAAGAAGGAATTGAAAAGAATGGAAAGCTAAATAAAGATAAAAGGAAAAGAAAAGTGTAATGAAAAAGAAAGGCAAGAAATTTGGAAGTTTAAAGTTAAAATGGTGAGAGGGAGTGTACTTACTTTTTCAATAATGTCTTCTACTAATGTCAGGATAGCTGTCTCTACATTGATGTTTGTCTTTGCACTTGACTCAAAAAACCTCATGCCATTTTCTTGTGCGAACTACAAGATCAAAAACAAATTGTTTAAAAAATAATTATATGTCAGACTAGGAATAAAGGCCTTCATGTGATCCTGTGGCTTTCAACATTCATTATAGCAAATTCCATTAAAAAAAGTGGTGAATGATAGCTGATGGTAAACCAAGAATTAGGCCTGGTCAAACAGTGGGAAAAAAGAAATAAAGTCTGACTGACCTATTGACTCTGGTTAAATGTAGCTCTGTTGGGCAACACAACAGATCATTTTTATTATATATTTTTAGTGGTACTTACCGATTCTCCCTTCTCTTTGCTTACCATCCGTTGGTCGTAGAGGTCGCATTTGTTTGCAAGCAACACCTTTTGAACGTCTTCATTTGTATTCTATGTATTTAGACAAATAAGAAATGTTAGATTATTTTTAAAACAAATAAGAAATGACTGGCAGGAACAACACAGTTGTTAGTTAGTAATTAGTCGCAAGAACAGTTTCATTGGGAGTAGTAGCTTCTAGTGGCAAGAAGAATATTATTGGTAGTAATAGCTACTAGTGGCAAGAACAATATCATTGGTAGTAGAAGCTTCTAGTGGCAATAACAATATCAGTGTTATGGCAATTAGTAGCAAGAACAATACAATTTGTAATAGCAACTAGTGGCAAGAATAATACCACTGGTAGTAATAACTAGTGGCAAGAACAATACCATTGGTAGTTACAACTTGTGGCAAGAATATCACTGACAGTAGAGGTAGTAGCAACTATTGGCAAATACAATACCATAGGTAGTAGTAGCAACTATTGGCAAGAATACCACTGATACTACAGTAGTAGAAATTAGTGGCAAGATATGTTATTTGAACGTCTGTAAGTGAAGGCAAAGTAACGATAATAATAAATGCTTGAGGTACACCGCCAGAAAGTCCTAAAAAGAAATGTTTTTGTTAGTGTCAACGTTTCAACTGAGCTGCTTTCGTTGTCAGTGTTCAACAACAATGACTGATACAGTAGTAGGAACTGAGGCAAGAGCAATAATGTTGGAATAAGCAACTAGTGACAAAATACCATTACAGTAGTTGCAGCAATTAGTGTCAGGTGATACCATAAGTAGCACCTGCAACTTGTGGCAAGATATTCCATGAGTGAAAGTAAATAAACTTACATCCTGAACGTTCTGTAGCCAATTGCTTGTAATGTGCTCAAATGATTTCTTGTTTGTCATGTCGTACACCATTATGATCCCCGCTGTACGTATGAAACAGGAAGTAGAAACTCCACTGAATTTCTCCCCTCCTGCTGTATCCCATATTTGTAGTTTTACCTCCTTTCCATTTAGCTCCACTGTCTTGATTTTGACCTCTACGGCTGTTAAATAAATTACAAAATAGCATTTCATCATCACAAAAATCAGGCAAGAGGGACAAACAGATAAAAACCAAAACCCTGTTGAGGAG